AATTAAATGTAATTAGAAGTTGTCACGATGATTTAGGACATGTAGGTATTGATAAATGTATTAATGCTATAAAAGAACTCTATTGGTTTCCCAAACATGAGAACTAAAGTTGATGAATATATAAAAAACTGTTTAAAAATGTATTACTTATTCTCCTGTAAGTGGAAAAAAAAAAGAGGGTTTTTTACATAATATACCTAAGGGAAATAAACCATTCCTTACATTACATTTAGATCATTGAAAAAGGGCCTTTTTTTAGCAAAAACCAGCGAAAAGAAAAATCGATTTATTTTTGCTATAATTGATGGGTTTACAAAATTTGTAAAAATATACGCATGTAAAACTACCAATTCAACTGAGGTAATAAAATACTTAAGGAAATATTTTGCTGATTATAGTAAACCACTTAGAATAATCACAGACAGAGGTTCTGTTTTCACCTCTAACAATTTTTCAGAATTTCTTCAAAATTATAATGTAAAACATGTATTAATTGCGACTGGTGTTCCACGTGCTAATGGTCAGGTAGAAAGATTAAATAAATTTATTATTCCTATGATTGCCAAATTAACAGAAACTCCAGAGAAATGGGATGATATCTTAAAATGACGTTGAATTTGTTGTAAATAATAGTGTTCATAGTACCACTGGAGAAACCCCTGCTAAGCTATTATTCGAGTTCCACAGGAAGGGTTAATGAATGTCGATTTAAAAACAATTTCTTTTAACACATAAGGAAGAAGAAACAGACCTTGATGATCTAAGAGATAAGGCAAATAGGAATATTGAAAAAGCCAATCATATAATAAAACCTATTACGACAAAAAAGCATAAAGAAGGTAAAACTTATAGTAAAGGTGATTATGTGATGATACCTAATGTAGATGTGAATCCAGGTATCAATAAAAAGTTATTACCAAAGTATAAAGGTCCTTATGTAATAAAAATGTCTGCCAAATGACAGATATTTAATAACTGATATTGAAGGATTCCAGGTAACTCAAAGACCTTTTGAAGGTATTTTTGATTCAAATAGTTTTGAAATTATGGTTAAAATTATCTGACACTATTGACAAAGCCATTGACCAAAATCTTGACCAATGTTAATATTTTGAATCTGCCTAAATTGATTTTACTTAACTTATTTTCCTGAAAGAGTCATATAATATTGGATTGATTATTTTATTTTGACTTATGAAAAATAATTTTAAAAATTTAATCACATGAGATAATTTTATGAAACATTATGATTATATAATGCAAAATTTATGATTTTGGTTATGAAAAATTATGTTATGATGTACTGAATTAGTTTTATTAGTAATATGTACTAGTTTCTAGTTTAGTCATAAAGATTATGTTATGCAATTAGTTTATGAATTACTTATGATATGATGTTATGAAATCATAAAAATATTATGTTTAGAATTAATCTTTATGTATTACGATACTTATGTGTTATGATCAGAATTCTTATGTCTCTTATGTTAAATTTTTTGATTATGAATTGCTTATGTAACCCTTATGTAACCTAAAGTATTATGTTAACGTTAGATAGAACGAGGTCGTTCTAATTGTCAGGATGGTCGAGTTGTAAGAATTATTTAAATATAGCGCTAAAAACTAGGCTGACAACTCCTTCCTGGAAGCATAGAATTATGGGTAGCTTGTTGTTATGGTGTTGTTAGCTTTGTTATGTATTGAGAAATAAACAAAATTGGAGAATAAAGTATAAAAATTACATGAAGTCATTTTTATTGTAAATACACAAAAATTAAGGCCTCCTTTATAACTAGAAATAAAGGTAATTTAAAGGTTGATTACACTTAAACTACGTTTTGAGCCATATTTTCACCTTTGTGAAATTGCAGTCAGGCTTTAAGGTTTCTTCAGTATCAAAGTTTTTAATACTAAATATTTACTGAAGTTTATTTATTGATCAGTTATTGTGCTGCAATAATAAAGTGCTATACTACCCTTTTTATACAGAGTGTTCTAAAATTTTATTTTAAATACTAGCTTTAAAGTTTTAACGGCAATACCTTGTTTAATTTAGTGGAACGACCCTGTATATGTTTTATGAGAATCAGATGCACAATTTAATTGTTCATCAATCATTGTATTATACCATTTTTTACCTATAGCTTCAAGTTTCCGTAGAAAATGCATTTTCTTGTAATTATAAATTCATTTATCAATATACCCATGGAATACTGACATTTTAGATTATTTTTAAAGATGTACCAAATTTTTAAAAAGTACAGATACTAATATTGTCGATATAGTTTGTTTATATTATAATATTTCATTTTTTGACAAATGCTTATTTGTAACAACAGAGACATTCATTTTTATAACTTATTATTATATTGATTTCTGATTCAAATCCACATTTATTTAGAATAATTTATTCACGAACATAATTAAGTATGTAATTAATTAATATTTGGGCGGAAATAATGGTGGTATATTTAATTAATGGTATACTCTTTTATGAAGATTTAAATAGTTTTCTTTTTGCATACAAATGGGCTAGTAATATTATCATTTTGTTAAAAACGATAATATTACTAGCCTGTACATTTTGTACATTTGTTGCTTTAAAAACAATCTAAAATGTCAATATTCCATGGGTGTATTGATAAATGAGGTCTAAATTATAAGAAAATGCATTTTCTATGAAAACTTGAAGGGATAGGAAAAAAGTGGTATAATACAATTTGATAGACAATTAAATTATGCATCTGATTCTCCTAAAATATACAGGGCGTTCCATTTAAATTAAACAAGTTATTGCCGTTTAAAGCTAGTAATTATTTAAAATAAAATTTTAGACACTCTGTACAAGGTAGTATCATTTTTATTATTGCAACACAATAACTGATCCATAAATAAACTTCAGTAAATATTTAGTATTAAAAACTTTGATACCGTTGGAGAAATGAAGCCTTAAAATTTTTATTGCAATTTCACAAAATTGAAAATATTTCAAAAACGGTAAGGTTTAAGTGTGATAAACCTTAATAAAATTTACGATGTACTTAAACAGCCGTTAAACGGTAGTCTACTAAAATGCCGTTAATAGATATTGTGACGTCGTTCATGCCGGCGGAAAGTAATGCCTAGCCATAAGCATTTTGCAAGAGCACCTGTGGGTCCGTGGCTGAGGCCATTGCTTCGGGAGCGAATGGTCCGGGGTTCAAATCTCACGCCGACCAAGACTTTTTGATATTTTTTTTTGCTTATAGCGTGATCTTATTGCATTGGTTTCACTCTTTTTTGTTGGATTGGTTTAGTTATTTGGCGGGTTGGTTAGCGTGGTGATTTGGAGGGTGTTAATTCATTGGTTAGTTGGTTATTTGGTGAGGTTGGTTGGTTTTTACTAATTTATATTTGTTTTTTAAATTTTTTTATCAGTGTCGAGGTAAGTTGCGTTGGTTAAGTTGGTTATTTGGTGGGGTGGATAGCGTTGGTTACTCCTTATAAAATTCCTATATTTCATAAAGCCGTCAAGTCGTCAAGTGCGTCACATGGACGACGTTATACCTATTAACGGCATTTTAGTAAGCTACCGTTTAACGGCAGTTTAAGTACAGCCTAAAATTTTCCTTTATTTCAATCGTAGAATCTAAAAATAGAATAATATACAGGGTGTTCTATTTAAAAAAATACAACTATAGCATTTTTTACTTATTTGGGACACTCTGTATCTTGTAAAATTATTTCTAAATTGTAGCTCTAATAGTCCTTCAACGAACACAAAACTTAAAATTTGTAAAAATCTAATCGTTTAGCTACAATACTCCGTGTCGTATGTGGTGAACAACCCTGTATATAGGGTGGTCCGAACTGTATTCCGGAAACTTCGGCAGTGTATTCTGCAGTTCTGCACATAAAAATAAGTAGACAAGTTCGTATAAACTTATTATATTTTAAAATGCCTCGTTTCGGAGATACGGGGTGTAAGGTTTCATTTTAGTTAGGTTAGGTTGTTATTTTGATTTTTTCCTAATAATTTCTGAACTAAATTCAGTATTTCGATGAAAATTAGTATCTGGGTTTTTTTAACACGACAAATTCGACTTCGATTGTCAACATGACTCCTACTTGTAGGGGGCGCCACCTACATCTCTTTTAACTGTTGAAGAGTAATAACTTTTGGTCCGTCCCTGTATTACACTACTGAAAAAAATATACATTTGTGCTTTTTTCTACGTAACAAATGTCTCATGGTAAAAATTGCTGCCGAGCAACCCTTCTCGAGATATTTAGATTCTTAATAATCAATACATATCATCAATGACAAAAATTAAAGATCTTCGCTAGAAAGATATTTGCCTAAACTAATAATTTTTGAGACATTTTAGAATCATAGGTTTTAGAAATTTCGCGGTTCAACAGCTTCTGTTGAACCTTTGGTATCAGAACGTTTCGAAAATTATTAATTTACTCAAATATCTGTTTAGTGGACATGTTTAATTGTTGTCATTGATGGCATGTATTGATTATTAAGAATCCAGATATCTTGGAACGGTTGCTCGCAAGAGACATTTTTTACGTAAAATAAGGCGCAAATGTATTTTTTTCACTCGGTTGTGTATTACAGGGACGGACGAAAAGTTATTACTCTTCAAAACAGTAAAAAAACATGTAGGTGGCGTCCCCTACAATTAGAAGACATATTAACATCGAAATCAAATTTCTCATCACAGCCCCCAGATACCAATTTTCATCCAAATATCGGCATTAGTTTTAAAATTATTTGGAAAAAATTGAAATAAAGATGAAACTTCTACACCCTGTATCTCCGAAACGAAGCATTTTAGGACATAAGTTTATAAAAATCTTTTTACCTATTTTTATGTGCAGAATATGCTGCCGCAGTTTCCTAACCAAATACGGTTCGGACTGCTCTGTAGATTATTTATTTTAAATTTATAATAAAGAAAAGTGATATTCTTCAAGAACGACATGTTAAGTATTTGCGTATGTTATTTTAGGAAGAAAATCAGCCAGTAGTAAAGAACTGACAGCAGAACACAAAATAATCAGATCCATTGAACGACCAGAAAGCACAGACGTTTTTGATCATATTCCCAACAGAATGAAAGAACAACGAAAATATCTCACTAGAAAATCTTTACCTGACGGTAGCGCGGTCGTATCCTGCAGTTTATGTAAGATAGATTTGAAAAATGATTTGAAAATCGTACGCAACCACATTAGTCTAGCTAGTCCTGCTCATGTCGATTTGAACGAGATATATAAGTATTATTGTGAGATATGTAATATTTGGGAACAAGGAGAGATGGGTTGGTCAAGGCATAATTTTAAAAGCAAAAGGTATGATAAATTCCACTTTAGCATTCTAAAGTCCCAATACGCTATGTGTAAGCAACCGATAATATGTATAGGCTTGGTGCATTCTCCGCCGGTGCTGCCACATCGGAGAATATCGTAAACATTCCGTATATACAAATACACGGGTTTAAATAGCGAGTATACGAAAATAAGTTTATTTAATTATTATTGTAAAAGTGTTAGGAAGTATAATTTCAATTTGTGGAAATTCTAAAAAAAATTAAATAGTAAATATTTTGATATTTTCAGAAGGTCTAATTTGTATTATAATTTATTATTGAAGCTAATAGAACCTTTTATTAGTTCAAGTACGGTGGCAAGCATAGTTTTACGCACCGGTTTTGCTAGTGGGGACATAACTTAGGCTATATATTTATAGCCCAAACTATAACATAATGCTAGTCTTAATTTTTTATTTTTAGACTTATTAGTCTAAAAATTTTTAGACTTATTAGTCTAGCATTATGTTATAGTTTTGCGATTTGGTTTATCTGTCAAATTTGACATTTTTATTTTAAATGTCGAAAAGTGTCCTTCTTTCTTAAAGTTTAGAAATATGCTATTTGAAAAAGATGTTTAATTTCACATTTTTTAACTACCGTCAGAATTTCGTCACTCTACATTAAATTCCATTTTTGGTTAATTTTTAAAATATTTTGGTCAGTTCTTGTATATTAATTTAAACTTGATCAGTGCAAAAATACTTAATATTAGATAATTTGACACATTAGCAATAATTCTCCTAATTTTTTTGACTTTCTGATGTTCGTGAATAGTTTTAGTTTTTAAGAAAATGGTAAGGTGTGCTTTTTTAACCTAATTCTTTTTAGAAATAGTTTTATTTTTTAGGGTTCCGTACCCAAAGGGTAAAAACGGGAACCCTATTACTAAGACTTCGCTGTCCGTCCGTCGTCCGTCCGTCTGTCACAAAGGTCTATCTTATGAACCGTTATAGCTAGACAGTTGAAATTTTACAGATAAAATGTACCTATGTTGCCGCTATAAGAACAAATACTAAAAACAGAATTAAATAAATGTTTATAAGTAAAAAAGTACTTTCACTAAACATTATCTTTTAAGTAAGAATTTTACATAGAATCTTTCACGTCCTCGGTGGCCGCGTGGTTAAAGCGTTAGGACTTTACGCTGCTATGACGTTGGAGCCGTAGTAAGGGAGGTTCGAATCTTAGTCAAGGCGACTTTTTTTTAATCGTTTTTTTTAATTTTTACATATTTATTTTTACTTTTTACATATTTATTATTGATTAATACAATTTTTGGTAATGTGTTTCTTCATTTTTTTTTTAAATTACTTATACGCGCATTCAAAATTTCAGCCAAATCGGAAAAAAGTTTATAATAAATAATAAATAATAAATAATAATAATATAATAAATAATAATAATAATAGTTTCTTAGCTTCAATCTACTGAGGTGTTCACTGAGGAGACAGTGTCCTCGATGAGAGAAGTGTTAATATGTCAGATTATACAATATCAAATATTTTTGTATCCATATGTAACTGATAATATACGGAGAGTGATCAAAATAATCGGAATATTGACATATAAAAAAATAAACATTAGAATAGAGTGTCAAAATTTGGCCGGTATATAACTTTTTGCAGCATTTTTCAAAATTTTAATAAACTAGGGCACTTTTTGACATTATACATATGAGAAATCTATGATGGTGTATAATAATATTATGTTTTATATATTTTTTAAGACATTTGAATATGGCAGAAAGTCGAAAACCAAACGTGACAGAGTACGAATGCACTACTTGTAAGACAGTAATTTTTGGAGATGAATTGTCTCTCGCCCGTCATTTACCAAAGGATGGTAGAAGTAAAAAGGAAAGAAGTAAGTAAATTATAAAAAAAACTTTAAAGATTACTTATCAATTTTTTTCTTTGTTATTTTTCAACTGACGAGCCATGAAAACACGTTAGTATTTCAATTTTTGTTACTACTAAGATATATTTGATATCAATTAAATTTTTAGTTACATAATCGAGGGCGCGATTTTTAAATTCCTTGTTCCCAATAATGAATGAGATGGTAGCTCTGCTGTAAAAAATGTCAAATTGTCGCATTTATTTATTTATTTCCTGACATTGTTATTCGTTTTGACACCTTAGTTTTGTATTACGAGTTTTTGGTTTAAATAAATAGTGTTGCGATTCTTTAAGCTTAAAAATGTTTACTAGCAGACCTTGCAGTTGAACATTGTTCTTTTTAGAACCTCTTTTAGTGCAAAGTGTACAAGATAGCTTAATAGTCGTAAAAACGAATCGCAACTTTATTCGAATATTTTGAACGGGAAAGCGGTAGTAACGGCCCTTTATGTCCCTTAAGTGCTGTTAAGAAGGTGAGTTTTGTTGATGTAAATAATAACGGTTTATATGTTTATAATTAATTTATTTTTGTTTCCTAAAATATTTTGATTAAAAGAAAATATGTAAAAGTGGGCAACGCTGTGCCGGCCAAACTTAATCACGTGACTAAAAGTTTATTTGGTACGAACTGTACATATAGTTTTTATGTGTTTTTGAAAGTGTGTTTATTGTATTATGAAAGTTTCTGTATAATTTATATAAAATTGAATTCTCTACACAATAACTTTCCAGGTTTAGTCACTTTGCATAAAACCAATTTTAAATATTAATTTTCTCTATAGGTAACCAACTTCCTGATGGTGTAAAGTTGCTTTTTAAAAGCAAACAAGACTTACTAGCCGAAGGCGCTAACCTGGTGGCCCAGGCAGAAGAAGTACTTACTATACCTGACACGCGGGTGTGCTGTGAAAAATTGGAAGAAGCTTTACGCGAACAGTTTGAAAACTGCAAAGTGTATCCCTTTGGCTCTAGAATATCCGGAATTGGTACCAAGGTGGGTTACAATTTATCTAACAGCTTTTATTTTGAAGATATGTACCTATAATAAAATTTAGGGAGCAAATCTTGAACAAAATTGGTTTGGTTTGCTTTTGACCTTTACCTTTCTACAGTAACATCTATTATTATTTACCTATCGTGTAATATCTTTATTTTACAGCTATTCCAGTTTTTAGTACTATATACGAGATAGTATACTAATTTTATTGGTGGTTAATACAAATCTTGGGACCTAAACTCCCTCGATTTTTTTCCTCCACTTAACTTTAAAAAACACAAAACATGAAATAATACCAACCAAAATGCAAAAGCAATATCGCAAATACGTATTATTTTTCAGAACGCTGGTTATTAATTTGACACCGTTTGACACAAATTATAACCTTTAATTTGACAAGTTTTAAAAATCTTAAGTCGGTTTTATACGCATCTGCCAGCGACTGTGTGTCGTTCATCGTTCCGTCAGTACAATCATATTGAAATATTCATGTCATTAAAATAAATGAATAAAACTAGTTATCTGCATAGACACTTCATCTGCGTGGTCTGTATTTTAATGTACGCGACAGAGATAAATATAAATGACCGGTTGACAGACAGAGAAACAAAATAAAAAGCGGTATACAGTGTTGCCGGTTTTTACGTTTGTAGGAAAAAGTGTGTAGAAAAAAAAATTAAAAACTTTCATGTATACTACTGAAATGAGGATAATATTATATCTAAGTTAAATATAATCTATTACAGCTGTAGTAAAATGAGTAACTAATTGTGAAAAATAAAGTTCCAACCCTAGATGCAACATTTGTCATAAACGCCTACTTGTATGGTTTGAAATTTTGATGCAAAATTCGGCAATACCGATAATATTGAAGAAATGTATCAACCCAATTTTTATCTCTTTTGAATACATTTGATTTTCCATTAAACTGTCGACATCACTATCTTGCACGTTAATTTTTTTTACAACCCTATGTTGTTTATATGTTAGAGCTTCTTATGATACTTATTTCTCTTTGACTTTACAACTAATTCAATTACAGTCAAGCGACCTAGACGTTTTCGTTGACACTGGTGACATGTACTACGGTCAACGCAACCAAGACCCGTCAGATCAAGTGACTTTAATCAGGAAGGCGATCAAAGCTTTTGCAAAAAACCGAGACTACGAAAATCAGCACGCGGTCAGCACTGCCAGAACTCCCATTCTCAAACTGCACTACGTCCCTTTAAACTTGGACTGTGATTTATCGTTTAAACATGGACTTAGTGTAGAAAACACTAAATTTTTAAAGTGAGTACTATTTGGAATAAACCTATCTAAAAATATACAATATGCTCGAAAAAAAAACAGCGTCAACGATGGCTATGAAATGAAGATCGGTGTCATTTTATATGTAAAATTTATATGAGGAATGTCATGATATTCATTTCCAAACTAGACGTCGTTTTTTTCGATCATACGGTACTTAAATACTAAGGGCTGGTAAAGGTTAGTCTTGGGTCGAGATTCCCGTATGTAAGAAGAGTACAATTCGTTTATAATGTACTGAACAAAGAAGGAACAGTAAACACGTTGCCAAACGTATAAAATAAACCGAGAAACTGTGCACATTGCTAAGAGAGGGGGAAGGGAATATAGCAGATTTGTTGCGGTCGACCGGTCGACCCAATCAGTACCTCTGTCAGTACTTAAAGTTCTAGGGAAAGGTGTGCATCGTGCGTTCAGCTTCACGATTTAATTACGTCTCGTGATACTTTATTTGTTTATTTATTAACGAGTCGTTGTAATTTTCCCTGTAGTTTGAAAATTTTTAAATGCAAGTTAGAAACACTTGCATTTTTGTTAAAAATAAGTGGAATTGAGTTGGTGTTCGACAGTAGTCGCGCTATTAGAACTCTGAATTCAAAAATCGATATCTAGAAATCTATTAGAAATAATTGATTGTAGTTTTTTCAAAATCTTTCTTAATATTTCTGCTATATTTTCTTCGCAGACAGTATGCGAAAGTCTTTATAAATAAAATAGTTACACAATTATTGCTGAAAATTGCTATGCACTAAAAGTAAATGGATGGGTTGTTTAAAATTTTTGAATGGAAAAAACAACCTTATCGAATTTTTCGTATTTAAACATATTGTAAAAGATCCTATCTTCAAAATAAAAAAAAAGTTTCTAAAGTAGTTCTTAAGTTAAGGCGTGTTATGTGTTAAAAAGTTGAGTTTTTAAATTATCACGATTACTGACGATTTCTCGTTATATAAAAGATGGACACCCTAACGATATCCTTTTCGAAAAAAAAAGTCTTTTAAAAATCTTTTCGAAAAAAGTCTTTTAAAAATAAGCGGTTTGCGATCGTGATTTTACTTTACTTGATAGGGAAAGGCATACCGGCAACGCCGCAACGGCACACCGTCGCATCTCTCTCACTCCGACTTAATAAGATCCCTATGCGATTTACTTCCACACATGTAAATACCGACCCAAAAGTAACAGTTGCCAGCACGGTATACATAATTAAATATTTGTCTTTTAGGTATTGTTTAGAGCTGCAACCTATCGCACAACCCTTTATTTTATTGGTTAAAAAATGGTCATCTTATATATTACTTGAATGTGTGAATACTTACGCATTCGCCGTTATGTGTATATTTTATTTACAAGTCAATGGATTTTTGCTGTCGGTTGAGAGATTAAGGAACTTACACAATTCGAATAATTTGACGATTATTAACGGTAAGTTTTTTTAATAATCTGCAAGATTTTTGTTATTTTGAAAATGAAGATGTTTGATGATATTGGCGAAAATATACGGAGAACACTCTGTACATCGATTCCATTTCACAATTTATTCACTAGACAGCCAGTTGACTTTGCTAGTTTTTGAGCACTCGCGCTTCATATGCCGCGGTTCTTGTACACATGTAGGCAATCAGAGCGAAAGTTTTCTTTTAAATTTTCGTGTATATTTTAGAAATCTTTTTAGAACTGCATGTTCACCGCAAATTCTCCCACGGTATAATTTCTTAATCTCTGATATTACAATAACCCCTTCACATATATTTATAACGTAACTATATCGACTCCAAACTGCACTCTGTGAAGCCGAGCCGGTGAAATGGGTATATAAATCTTCTGAAGGAATTTGCATAATTCGCTCAGTTAGACGAGCTCATGCGTAGTGCGCAAGCCTGGATTTTGAATTATCGATCGGATAACTAGGCCAATAAGAGACTAGACACTAGCATCAGCCGTAGAATCGTAGGGCTTCGTACGGCTTTCGTTTGCGCTCCCGTTCGATAATTGGCTAATCCTCAGAGTAAGGGCTAATCGATATTTGGAATTTTGGAGTTGCGCTATTGCGCCAGGGCTTGCCTAACAGAGGAACTTATGTCAAATATACATGGACCGGTTATCTAGTTGTCTCTGACTCGGCTTCAACTCCAACACATTACAGGGATAAGCGGTAATCCATATATACTTAATATATATATGGGGTTACGGCTCTACCCTACGGTTACTGGTTACTAAAAGAGATGCAAATACAGACAAATCCGGTCGCTCTCAACATTTTTGAAAAATAAATATTTTTTTTTTAATTTTCTACCTTGAATAACTCGGTTATTTTGGACTTATTTGAAAAACTGCAAAGAGAAAATATGTTTTTTATCAAGATCTACTAGCCCTGAAAATATTTGCACTTATTTAAGATTCACCCTGTATAAACGGAGTTTCAATGGAGCTCAGAACCCGCCTTGGAACTCAAAACCCGCAGTTAGGTTCGCAAAGGTTCATGTAATGGTATGTCGATTGGCTGTCTAATGAATAGGTTGTAGCTATATCACATATTTAAAATGTATAACGACGTCCATTACTATAACAATAATAATAATAAATTTTATTTACCCATTGTAAACATAATAACAATTTACATATTAAATTGTTTATTTTTTTTAATAGTATAGTTACATATTATTAATGTGGTCTAGTGTTGTAGAATTCAATATTAATACTAAATAATATTTTAGGATGGAAAGCTATTACATATTCGTTAAGTTTAGAAGAAATTAAGAAGCACATAAAAATTTATCCTAGGAGCGTGGATGAATTGTTGAAAGAATTTTTCGAATATTTTTCAAAATTCGATTTTAATAGTTATGTAAGTAGGCAATAGCTTTTAGTAATAATGATCTTATTAAGACTCACCCTGTAAATAAAAAAATATTTTTATTATGTCTAAAACTGAAGTGAAAAATTATAGTGACGAATTTTATTTAACACTTGTCAAAAGTCAAAGTAAAAAACGCCAACTTTTGTTGGTTTTATACTTTGAATAAGAAGACTAAGGAAGGAGCATAATGCTATCCATGTATTCATGCATGGTGGGCGGAAAAGCCACCATAAAAGCTCTCTAGGGTGGGGATCCTTGACAGTTCTGTTTGACGATTCATTTAACACATTTGAATTTGATTTGAAATTTTGTGGATTTGTCAGTCTTTACGGAGCTTATTTTATGTTATTTATTATTTATTCTACTACTGATAGTTGTATAAAGGTAGTAAATCTAGATGGAAATTGTGGCAGAACTTAAATTAACAGTGACACTATCGCGATTTATCGAAAAGACTCTAAAATAGTTGGTTGTGTAGCGTGCGGTAGATCTCGGCAAAAATTGAGTGAAATAATGGAACAACTTTTCGCTAGTAAGTGACTATATAATATACATACGTGTAGTAAACCGATCATTTATGAAATTCACTTAAATTAACTAAATTATATATTTTTTCTTGCATTTTAGCTTTTATTTATTACTTGTCAAAGATTAGATGTCAAAGAATTTAGATACGTTAATTTGACTTACCTGCTTCAGTAGCGTATCGGATGTTTGTGTTAATAAATACTTATTATAACTTATCTATTTTTATTAGAATTATATATTTTTATAACAATTTTAATAACTACCAACATTTATTCACAACGTAAAATAAAACAACAAATTATTGAGTCTACCCCACGTCTACCCTACATCATAGTTTTACATTTTTTAAATAAAATTAAACGACACTGATAAACCGGAATTTAAGTCGGCCATATTTGAGGCCCATCGCGGTGTACCTAAGATTTTTGATATGCTCCTTCCTTAGTCTTCTTATTCAAAGGTTTTATACTAGATCATATATACTTAAGTGGATAAGTAAATCACTATGGAAACTGGCAAACATATCGACTTCCATTTATCTTCTTTTGTTGCACACGCGGTGCTTCTACTCTATCTGTCCTTGTCGAGGACCAATCGTCCACGCGCCAAGTTTAAACATTAATTTAAAAAAAAAATCTTTAATATAATTTTGATTTCTTTAATATGATTTATTAGCAATCAGAATATTTGCAAGGAAATGGGCTAATTTAATGACTTGAGAGCAATGAAGCTCCAGTTAACGTGATGAGGTCTTCTCCAGTGAAAAATCCTTAATATTCTTTCAAATCAGATGGCCATTGTCTTTTAAGTCTTCTTGTAGGTACTGGTTCAAGTAGAGGCTGAAGTAAGGTATTGGTGTGATCGTGTGAAATGTTTTTTACTCCGAGTTTGGATGACTTCTTTGACGTACGGAATTTTTAAATCTTCATGTATAGTGTGATTGGAGACATACCATGGTGCGTCTGTTATCATCCGTAGAATTTTAGATTGGCTCCTTTGTATTATGGCTATATTTGATTTACTAGCGCATCCCCAGAGTTCTGCTCCATATGTCGAAATAGGTATTATTATGGTTTTGTATAAAAGAAGTTTATTCTCTAGCGATAGTTTGGATATTCTTCCCATTAACCAATATAAGTCTTTTATTTTTAAATCTATTTGCTTACGTTTCTTTACTATGTGTTCTTTCTAGGTAAGCTTAGTGTCCAAATGCATGTCTAAATACTTGGTAGAGGAAGACTGCGGAATTAGTGTGTTGTTTAAATATACTGGAGGGCACTGGTCTCTATTTAAAGTAAAAGTTACTTGGGCCGATTTTGATGGATTAATTTTTATTTTCCAAATGCCTCTATTACATTTAGATGTCTTTGTAATATCAAGGAAGCTGTTTCCGGCTTTTTGTTGACAGCCATAATTACTGTGTCATCTGCAAAAGTAGCCGTTGTTGTTTTGTTGTTTGTGGGAAAGTCTGCTGTAAAAAGGACATAGATTAGTGGTCCTAAGACACTACCTTGTGGAACACCTGCATTTATGCTGTAATTTTGAGATATATCCTCACCTATTCTGACTCTAAACACTCTACCATTTAGGTAGGATTTCAATATCGGAAAGTAGGACATGGGAAGATAATTTTTAATTTTGTAAAGTAGTCCTGTATACCATACTTTGTCGAAAGCCTGACTAACATCAAGAAACACTGATGTGCAATACTTTTTGTCCTCAAGAGTTTCAGTTATATTGTTGGTAATCTGATGTATCTGCTGAATAGTGGAATGTCGAAACCCAAACTGGTGATGTGGTATCCAGTTTTCGGTTTTAGGATCTGAATTGATTCTAGGAAGTATCAGTCTTTCAAGAATTTTGGAAACCAATGGTAGTAAGCTAATAGGGCGATATGAGGAGACTCTGTTTAAATCTTTACCGAGTTTTGGGATCATTATAATTTCGGCTGTTTTCAGCGATCTCGGCCAGTAGTTCAATCTTATGATGGCATTAAATATATATGTGATAAGTACTAAGCCCTTCCTTGGTAGTTCTTTTAACATTTTTGACGTTATCTTATCCACTCCTGATGCCTTACGAGGGTTTAGGTTGTTAATTTCGTGGTGAATTTCTTTAACTTTTAAAAACTTGATTGCTGATACGTTTAATCGGAGAACTGACACACTTCTTTCTATTTCATGATTTAAGTCATTGTTATGCGGTCAGAATACTTTTGCGAGGTGTTCTGCAAAAAGGTGTGCTTTTTCTTTATCACTTTTGGCCCACGGCAGATTCAGGTCTAGCTCGTTACGAAGGGGAGGTGATTGAGTTTTAGGTTTCTTTGAATGTTTGATTGGTTTCCATATGGAGTTGTCATAATGGTTTAAATTTTTTACGTACTCTGCAAAAGACCTCTCTTTGGCTTCTTTGATTTTTGTCTTCAATTGATTACTAATTCTGTTTAAAGCAGTTTTGTCTGTTGGTGCATGCGTTTAATATAAATAAAACTGAATACTTTACTTGCCTATGAAAAGATAATTCAGGGATCTTTATATTAGAACTTCCACACACCAAACACTTTCTAGTAATTTTTACGAGTATTTAGTATTTAGACAGTCAGAAATATAATTGCACAAACTTAAAATTAACTTCTTACTGAACACACTTGGCATCCTGGGCTATATAAAAGCGGTCGATAAAAGAGTAATTAATACAATTTTTAAATTAAAAAACGCAAAAAACAAGCGTCGTTACAAAATGGAAATAAGATTGCATATGATTATGACAAGTTTATGACAATATGATGACAATGAAAAGTTGGTTTCCATTACAATGTATAATTTGTACATTCTAAACCCTATAAAATTGTGATTATTTTGGAAACGCATGGCGCAAAGAACGGTCCTGGGAAAAAACAAACCTATTGAACCTTTCAGAAGTGCAATAAAAGTTTGAAAATGGCATGTCGTGATGTTGGAGACATATTTTTTAATGCTAAACTTTTTTTTTAAATTTATCCACGTAAGTATATATATGATCTAGGGATTTTATAGCATATTTTTTGTCGATTTTATATATAATTTAAGACTCCTTTCTTACTCTTTTTATTCAAAGATTCTACAGACTTTAGAATGTCCAGCGATCTGATTCGACCATACTTGTCTTTTTCTAGGTAGTTTGTCCTTTGTTGGGACGCGTGGTGAATCGATCCCTGTTCGAAACCAACAGCGGTCAAGACCTTCCCAAGGAAATGAACGACTATCTTGTTCAGCTGGAAGGTGACGATCCGGAAGTATTTAAATTGAAGAGCTTCATGTGCGTTCAGGATCCGTTCGATCTCAGCCATAACCTCACCAAGGCAGTTCAACAGGGTACAGTAAAGAACTTTCAAAATATGTGCAAACTGAGCGCCAAACATTTGGCGTTCAACTAATTTACGGAGATTGTATTCACGGAACGTTTTAGGGAAGTGTATACAGGATGAAACCGATATATAACTTTGTTAGAAAAGCATGTCACCGTGTATATGGACAATCGTTGTAACATTTATTTTTATCTTGTTTTATTATATATGACTTTATTCTTTTATACAGGGTGTTTCAAAACAAATGCGAAAAACTTCAGGGGGTGATTCCTTGTTCAAAATAAAGGGTAGTTTGCTTCATAAACGTTGGGTCAAAAGTCAACCATTATGGAGATATCGCGGTACAAAGATGGCGGAAAAATAATGTTTTTATTTTTTATCTTGAAAACGAAAAGAGATAGACTAATGAAATTTTATGGAAGCATCACTGTTATGAAAACACACTTTCTGGTAATTTTTTCGCTTTTTTAAAATGAGTGGAAGGGGTTGAAATAAACTACCCTTATCATTCTTGTTAACGAAATTTAAAGAAAAATCTTATCAAACACATGAAAAAAAATAATTTGGATAGTTTAGTTTGTTTAGAAACTTTTTTATCTCTTGTGTTTTTTTAATAAAACTCACCGATTTGAAATTAAAAAATAAAATGTAAAGCATTACATGTCAGGACAAAAAACATTTTTAGATAAAGAATCTAGTGGTAATAACGATAATAATAATCTAGATAATAACGTATTGCAGTAGAGTAATGTCAAATAAAATAATATTAGAAACATCCTAAAAAGTGACAGCGGCCGACTGGATTTTTTCCTAAAAAAATTACAGCAGCCCACTTGATTCTTTATCTAAAAATATTATTTGCCCTGACATGTAACGCTTTACATTTTATTTTTTAATTTCAAATCGGTGAGTTTTATGAAAAAAACACAAAAGATAAAAAAGTTTCTAAACAAACTAAACTATCCCAATTAATTTTTTTGCATGTGTTTGATAAGATTTTTCTTTAAATATCGTGAACAAGAATGATAGGGGTAGTTTATTTCAACCCCTTCCACTCATTTTAAAAAAAGTGAGAAAATTACCAGAAAATGTGTTTTCATAAGAGTAATGCTTCCATAAAATTTCATTAGTCTATCGCTTTTCGTTTTCAAGATAAAAAATAAAAACTTTATTTTTCCGCCATCTTTTGACCCAACGCTTATGAAGCAAACTACTCTTTATTTTGAACAAGGAATCGCCCCATGAAGTTTTTCGTATTTGTTTTGAAACACCCTGTATATAGAAAGTATTTTAGGTTCTACAAAGTTTGTAAAAAGTTTTTAAAAATAGGAGTAATTGACGATATATACAGGGTGTTTCGAGTTCAACTCTTACCACTAGAATCTAGGAAACGTAAGAGATACAGAGTGGCTTAAATTGGGGCAAATTTGCCTGTTAGTAAGCCCAATGGTAATCCGTTTTACAATAAAATTGAACTTATCTTTGTCAAGACTGAAATGTCCGGTTTTCGTTTTTGTTTTTACCAGTTTATTTTGACAGTTCGAAAAAAGTCGGTAAACAAATTCTCAAAGAAATTTTTTTAGCTTCATCTTTTGGTGTACGCGAAAAATCACTTACGACGTTGCGTTTTTCTGGAAACATCAACTTAATTTTTTTTAATACGGGCCTGGCTTTTTTATTTAATTCTTTAAAGACTTATGACCTCCCGAATGCAATGATGTATCGCACTTGCCCAAAAATTTGTTGCTTTTTACATACACACATTGGACAAGTCTGCTACATCATTGTATTTGGGAGGTTGTTGTTGGAGTTAAGTTCAATTACTAAAAAGGGATTATTGAGGGGGGGATTCAACAGGCAGCTTTGCCTCAAATTAAAACCTCTCTGTAACTCTTACCGTTTCCAAGATCCCAATGGTGAATATGAAACTCCCTGTATATAATATCTATCTTGGAGGTCTGATTCATTTATTTTGTTTATTTTAAATATAACTGTTTTTATGTATTGACAGTCTTTCACTTTCATTAAGTACCATGCCTAGATTTCTGTCTCAGAAGGACAGTTTTCAAACAGTACAGCCTTAATATAGGGTGTGGCAAAAAGTTGGGATGTACAAATGGGAATTTTTTTAATGATTCTGAATATCTGTTTTAAAAAAAAATATTAGGAATTTGTTCACGATACTCAATTTCAAAAAAATGATTTAGATATACCGTTATGATCGAAAAAACGGGGTCCAGTTGGCTTGGAAATGAACGTCGATGACATTCCCCATATAATTTTACATATGAACGGTCCATTTTACTAATTTTACAGAAAATCCCTGGGCGGGTGGTGGTTATCAGGTTCTTTCCTGTATGTATATTTTTGCTAAAGATCATGCCAGTATGCTTTTTGACACACCTATATTTATATCTAAATTAGAATTCTAGTGTAGAAAATGGCTGTTGATTGTTGAAATAATCATATTTTTGTCACGGGAACTCAATGTATATGTAAAGATTTATAAAAAGTGGTTTAGTAGAAGTAGTAGAAAAATTGATTGCACATTTTAAAACAATTTAACCTACATACGAAATTGGAGGTTAAATAATCAATTTAAAAAAAACATTAATTAATAAATTTTATTTTTGATTAAAAAGTACACAAAAACTTCACATTTTTATTTTGTTAAAAATCTCCTTTTCTTAACTATCTAATCAACAAAAACATATATTTACATTCTTGTCATGATTTTTTATTATTTATTAAAATTATTTTAACTACCTAATCAACAAAAACATATTTACACGGTTATAATATAAAATTCGATTTGATTTGATTTTAATCTCCTTATTATGTCATAAAAACAAAATAAATAGAAATATAGAAAAAAGTATAATATATAAAATGTGTATATAAAAAATATATGTAAAAAGTAAATTGATGTGATGAGTGTTGATGAACTTTAAAATATATTTTTAACATTTCTTAAAGCACCTTGGTTTAATTGAACTATTTTAAATTTTAGTATCACATATTATTTTATTTATTAACAATTAAACATCTACGGTAATGAGTTATTCATCAGATTTCATTATTCATTTAAGGCAAGAATTTTAATTTTAAGTTACCTAAGAACTAGATATAAATATGTTAGTAATAAATAAAATATAAAGATAAAATGCCTAATTTGATAAAGAGTAAATAGTAGGAAATATACAGTAAAAATTACATTATTTTTGTCACCACCCTGTATTCATATAGTTCTTCTCACGTTATCACGAGTATAGTAACGCTTTGGTTCAAACGAAAAATATCTAGTAGACCCCACGTTATGGCCCATATTAAGAATATTTTGATTTTCAAGATATATTGTAATTTTAATATTTAATCTATTTTAAACCTTATTTAATTTTTTTATCATCGGACTATTCCTTTGTAACTTCATTTAAGTAGCATAAATGTAAAAGAACAATAATTTATTTGTAAATAATTCAAATAATATATTTTCTATTAAAGTGAATTTAGTCCGTCTAGGTTTTTACAGATCAACTTAATTTTATTGAAACATAAAAAATCTTTGATCACTTACGTATGTTACGCCATATTGGGAAACGTAACGCGAGAAAAACTATATATATCCTGTATATTCATTACCTTATTGTTTTTGTTATTTTGCCTAGTTTGAGTATTCAATAATTAAATTTGTTTGTGCTTAAATTAATAAAACAATTTTTAAGGAATATCTAATAAAATTAGATGCGAGACATGAATAAAACAACACGCTTCTAACAAATCTTTTGTGCGGCAATAAATGTTCTACATAAACATCTTTTACCTTCACGTGTCGTAATAGGCAGTAGAGCGGTTACTTCGTATGTCGCCAGCTTCGCTGATGGCGTCGTGGTAGATTGTAGCCCCTGACAGTACAGAATCTCGTTTTCTTGCTAAAAAGTAGTTTACAGATAAAACAGTAATAAAACTAGCGATGGGAAAGATTGATAAATTTCGATAATAATTTCGAAATTCGAGTAGGTACTCGAGTTTCGAGCGATTTCAATAATTGAACGATCACTCGAGTTAAATTTCACTCGTATTTATCATTAAAAATGTTTTTGTTGTCGCTTGTGGTACTCGCAAAGCAGTAAGCTGCGTGCGCATATTCATTCGATGATCGTTAGAAATATTCGAGCTCGTCAGATTAAGGCAAAGTGAGAGTTAATTACATACAGAAAAGTGTGCATTTAAATAATCTGACGATTTAAGCTATCCGTTATATATATACCATGATACAAGAAGGTTAGATAAGATCCTTGGCGGTCGCAAATCTGCTCTCCGCGCGCATGACGTCACTAGGGTAGTAATTTTCTGTTAAGCTCCGCCAACTACATGCGCAATATCTTCTCTCAAAAGATCTCTGGCAGTGGCAAATCGGTTCTCCGCGCGCATGACGTCACCCCGATAGTAATTTGCTCCGCCCACTACATGCGTAATATCTTATCTAACCCTCCTTGTATCATGTATATAAACGATGGTCCGACGACGGCTCTCTGATTGGTCATATTGTTTTCGCGTCATTTTTTATCTGTAGTTTTTTTACTCCAGTCCATCAACGGAGAAAGATCGTACGATAACGGACGTTTTGACATTTTTTTGACAAATCTAACTATTTACCTAACCTTAATAAAAATATAATAGTACAAGAGCTAGCACCGTCGGGAAAACAGGAATATTAAGACAGCTGGTTGTTTTAATACATCTTTTGCTATGCTGTCCTGACCAAAGTGCGGGACATCTGGCTGCCGGTAGACTACTGCGGTTCGCTACTACGCATCACATCTGTACAGGGTATCCCATTTTCTTGTGTTTTATGGGTTTTCTCATTTATGAGTGATACAATGATGCGATTTTCACATTATTTTGTTACTTTTTTATAAAAAAATATGCTACACATAGGTTTGTCCTAGCCTCATCAGTTCCTGAAATACAGGGCGAATTTGTGATGCGCAGTAGCGAGCAGATGTTGAATACAGATATGGATGCGCAGTTGTGAACGTAACGTCTACCGGCAGCCAGACAGTATGCACTCTATTCAGAAGAGAATAGCAAAAGATACATTAAAGAAAACAGCGAAATCGTTATGGACATGAAAATATAAAATAACACCAACGTATATCCGATAAACGGACGCATGACAATGCAATAAATTTAAAAACTGGGTATTTTTCTAAATAATCGAAGTCTTTAAGCGTGGCATAAGGAAATGGGAGCGTTACAAAGATGCAAAAAAAATCTGGATCTCAAAATCTTCAAATTATTTGCACTTATTTAAGACAGCACGTATAATAATAAACTGGTAATTGCTAATAATCTTTTAACTCACCGCTATTACTTCTTCCCTTTTTTGCTCTTTCCGTCTCATTCTTAATAATAATCTCATTTACTTTGTAAGCTTCCCTCTTGATTCTGTCATTCAATTTCCTACTGACGTCCGGTATCGTCCACTCCACTATGGTCATGATGAAACTGACGAGATTCTGGTAAATAACTATGAAAGCTAGTCTGGCCGCCATAATGTGCCAGTAGATCAACGGTCTTTTGTACTTCATTTCGTGGTTTGGCGGGTTTCTATACTCTGCGTAACGGCACACAGTGGTGTTGTATATTGATGATTCAGGTGCGGTACCTATAATTCAAATTTAATGTACAGGGTGGAAAACAGGAATAAATGTGAATATATTCAGATTTTTTAATTGGAATTTTTGAATTCTGAGAACAGGGAGATAAACGTAAAGGATATTAAGAATGATTTATGCAATCCATGCAGACAATCGACTGAAGTAAAATGATGTATTTACCTGGACTGAAATCTGTAGTATTAAAATAAGCTAAGTTAAATTCCAGAAATCCTTCTGTGTTATGTTCAGGATTTACTTTCAATATATACACTATCCTAGGTATAAAATGTGATGAAAAAGCGATTATAACTGCGTTTGAGGCTACAGCTATTCTTCCCACAATAGCTAATATTCTGTACCTAAAATAATATATTATTGCTTATTTATTTTCTACAAAGTATTAATACAAAAAAAGTAACTACAAAGGAAATAAGAGATTTCTTTTGTTATATTAAAAAAAATTAAATATATAGATTAAAGAACCAAACATAGTGCTTACCAAACGCCAATATTTTTCACCCTTTGTGGCACAGGCCTGCGGTAGTATTTAATGAACTTTTTGGCATCTAATCGCATTTCTAGTACATTATTTATCAAAGCGAAGAGTGGGGCTAAAGGAAATGCTGTCACGAAAATTGTAACAAACCCATATTGTAAAACTACAAAAAAATATTACATGAATTGAATTTTCTTTTAAATTATAAAGAAGTCCTATAATAGAAAAATAAAAACGTAAAAGTTAATATGATGTCAAATATGGATCACACCAAATAAACTTTTAGTCACGTGATTAAGCTTGACCGGCGTTGTCCACTTTTACATATTTTCTTTTTACATAAAATATTTTAGAGAACAAAAATAAATAAATTATAAATATATAAACTGTTATTATTTACATCAATAAAACTCACCTTAACAGCACTTAAGAGATATAAAGCACCGCTTTCCCGTTCAAAATATTCTAATAAGGTTGCGATGAGTTTTTAGCAACAGCTATTAAGCTATCTTATTGTATCCTGCACTTGGCATTAAAAGAGGTCCTAAAAAGAATAATGTTCGACTGCATGGTCTGCTAGTAATTTTTTTTAAGCTATAAGTATCACAACAAAATTCATTTAAACTAAAAACACGTAATACAAAACTAAAGTATCAAAACGAATGACAATGTCAGATAAAAAAAATACAGTCAGAAAAAAATAAATACATGTGGCAACTTGTCATTTTTTACAGCAGAGCTACCACCTGAATCCCCAGCGGGAAATTTAAATTCCAGTCAGTCAGCCCGGCGCCGAATATGTCCACGGTTGGCAACAATGAATTTAAAAATTGCGCCCTTGATTACGTAACTAAAAGTTTAATTGGTATCGCATATTTATTCTGTATGATGTCAAATGTCTGAAAGTCCAAACGAGAAATATTTACGTGTAAAGCATTATACTAACCCATTTCTAAATATTCCGAAAACAGACTTCGAGATTCCAGCTGAGATAATTTATAGTCTTCAGTCCATTGGTTACAGCTAATGAGAACGTCTTCCTCCTTTTCGGCTCTTTCTATACCGGTGGTAACAACAAACGTTTTGTACATTTTATACCCTAAAGGTATCACCATTTCCAATATGGTGTTCATTGCTTGATTACCGATCATTATAATGGCTAGTTGGATGGTAAGTTCCATCAGGCAACCCCCGGGATTGCACTGCAATTAAAATCAATAAGTAAATACTGTATTGTATCAAAAAGTTTTCTGATTAAACTACTGACAGGCCTATTGTCAGTAGTTTTGTTGTGACGCATGACGTGATGAAAGCACCACGAATGTAGCTGAAAGATCCAGGCGGATGAGCTGAAAGATTATTGGAAATTCATAAGACCGTTAGAAGTAAGATTGCGCTAGCCAGTGACCGGATGAAAGATCTTTACAACCTCAGAGCTAACTTTACGAGATTTCAACGGGACGATGTGGTGTTGCTGTATAACCCGCTGTGCTAGAAAGGAAGGTCTCCAAAGCTAACTCTAGCATGGGAAGGCCCTTATACAGTCATCAAGAGGATAAATGAAGTTCTGAAGTTGTGTTCAATGCAGCTCTAGAAGTAAGATGAAAGTATTTCATTTGGATCGATTTAAGAGATACCAGACAGGAAACCTTGATCAGGACGATCAGATTTAAAAAGGGGACAAGTCAAGATGTATGGGACATCTGTCGGAAGAGCGAAAAACCACTAAGCATGTTTACATTGTCAAGAAGTGTGGCGACATCTTTCGGGAATTTGTAGCGCGCTGTCTCTTAGAAAATCCCGAACGAGGCAACGGAAATTGGTAGAACTAAAAAGAATATTACAGATAAGTCCCGAAAGTACGCGAAACATCCGTTCAGGTATTTAAGGCGCTGCCCGCGCTCCTCGGTTTACTTTAGCTTTGAATAGAGATCTGTGAATATATCGAACTGTGACAAATTGGCGAAGGTTTTTCAAATAGTTAGTTGTGGTTATATTTCATTAGTGTAAATTGTGTAGTTGGAAAATATTTTTTTAAGTTATATATCGTGCGTTATGAATAGTGGATCCACGGAATCCGTAACAGTACAATAAATATAAAAATAGACGGATAATTCCGCTAATAAAAGAAGATTGCAATCATTATATAAAGACAGAAACATGTTTATTTCATCAATACACCTTGATCAAAAAACTAAAAGAATCTTTATCATCTTTATAGATTACAATAACACTATTACTATATCTTACCTCTTCTTGTCTATATCCAAACACCTTGTTATACTTCGCAGGGTATCCTACAAATTTACCCTTAAAAAATGCTATGTAAAAAATACAGGAGTAGTAGTTGACGAATTGAAAAATGTAAATTTTAAGGGCCAAACTGTCGTCAAACTCCGTTTGCGTCCTTTGTAACTCTATTTCCGTCAGCCACAAAGCCAATCTATCGTAAATCATATTCAGAATGACGATGCATACTAAATTGATTATTCCTGCAGTAACTGGTACGATGTATATTCTGACGCTAGTTCTATCCCTGTATAAAGCTTCACTTGTTAGCAAAGACATCCTGAAAAACAGGAATATTCAGATAATAATAACAACAAGATGTATATATGTATATGTTACGGTTAAAGTCCGAAATGGAGTTTATCGGTTAATGTTTGGGTTAGGTTTTCTTTTTAGTTGAGATCCAATACAGGCCGAAAAATGAACTTAAATAAATGAAGGTCATATATACAAGGTTATCTAGTAATAAAGGACATCAGTAGGTATTACGAGCCCTAACAACTATATGTTGGGACAAGGTCATATTATGGAATTATTGCCCTGGTTTTTCAAAATGACTGAAAAATATATGTTTAATTTTTTAAATATAAACATAGCCATATATCCTAAACAACTTGACAATATTTTTATGAATTTGTAAATCAATCAATATTTACAGTAGCGGATTTTGTTCATAAAAGGACAAATTTGCTGTCAACTAAATGTTGGAACAAGTATTTTTAAATAATTAATATCATCATAGGCGGCTTTGCTATAAACGTCACAAATGTCGCAAACTGTTTACTTCAACATTGACAGCTTGTAAGTGACTCGATACTTTGAGTAGTGAGATTTGCTGGAAGAAATTTTAATTTTTTTAATTTTCAATTTTGTTAATTTAATCCAAAGTAATGGTCCGTGGAAAAGCTACAAATCAAAAACTACGCGAAATTATCACTTGTCAATACAGTACGGGAAAAACAATTCCAAAAATTTCTGATGATTTCTGAAGTATTCCAAAAACCACGGTCTTTAATATAATAAAAAAAAAATACGGCGAATCTGCCAACGTAGACGTTAGAGGTAAAAGTTCGGGAAGGCCAAAAGTTGTATCTCAGAGAGATTTACGAAATTTAGTAAAAATTTGCAAGTCTGCGAGAAGAAGTACTCTTCGCGAAGTAACAGTTAAATGGAATACTGTAACTGGTTTAAATATATCAAGAGAATGTTGCCTAAAATATATCCACAAATGCGGTCTGGGGTTTTACAAGGTAAACTTTATTTTGTGTGGATAATCAATTACCTGAAGATTATTGATACAAATTCATATTTTAGTCCAAAGAAAAACCACTACTGACAGAAATTCAAAAGAAAAATTGCTACACTTGGGCAAAATCTTAATTATCGTGGACACAAAATGATTGGAATAAGGTTTGATGTTTGCGTTGGAGATTATCGAAAACGAATAATACGAAATAAAAGCCTTTCATAAAGATTGCTTAAAGAGGGTTGGTAAATTTCCTAAGGAGATTATGGTTTGGGGTTGCATGTCAGCAAGAGGTTTGGGCAAATTAAATTTTATAGATGGCACTGTTAACGCCCAAAAATATCAACATATTCTTGAGGCCTCACTTTTGCCTAGTGCCCAAGAATTGTTTCCAAACGAAGACTATATTTTCCAACAAGATGGAGCCTCGTGCCGTTCAGCAAGATCAACTAAAAATTGGTTCGGTAATAATAATATAAAAGTTCTATCCCATTCTTCAAGTAGTCCGGACCTCAATGTTGTAGAAACTGTGTGGCATAAAATGAAGCAATATTTAAGAAACCACCCTCAACGAACAATTTTTGATTTGCGGACAAAACTGCAAGAAATTTGGGATAATTTTTCTTGTCAAATGTGCCAATCTTTGGTAAATACAATGCCATTAAGAGTTCAGGCAGTTGTTAAGGCGAAAGGTGATGTAACTCCGTATTAAACAAATTTCTTGTTGTGCTGTCCCAATATATAGTTGTCAGCAAATTTGGCTTGATTTTGTCAAAATAAGCTATTATCAAAAATGATTTGTTTGCAAAGTTATAAAAATATAGTAAAATTGTCTAGATCATATTGTAATGTTTGAATTTAGAATAATAAACAAAATAAATTGAGCCGTTTTAACAAATTACTATTTTTATTGCAAAAAAAGACCTTCTCCCAACATATAGTTGTTAGGGCTCGTAGTAGGACTGTATCTCAGAGACCGTTAACATTTTTATAATTAGTTATAGATATATCTGTGTTTTGGATCAAACGATTTTATCAAAATGAAAACATGATAAGCGCCAATTTCTTAATTTTAGGGTATTATAGTAGGTCTAACTGGTCCCTACAAAATATATAAACTCTGCAGGGCAGTAAGCTGTTAAATCTAATGATATATGCCTAGTAAAAATATACATACAGGGAAAGAACCTGATAATCATCAGTCAGCCAGGGCTCTCTTGTAAAATTACTAAAATGGCCCTTATCATGTTTTTCCCCTGGGCGACTCAAATAAACAGAATAACCCAAGAGTAAATCCGGGACCCCATTAGCCAACACCCGACGCGAGCGACGTGATGCCACGCGATGCCACGCCATCCCACGTGTTGCGACGACGTGGGAATGGGTGTACCCATTAGGTAACACGTGTTAACACGCCTGAAATTTTTATTAGAGTTAAAAAAGTTATCACTAGGGTTACGAAAATATTCGAAATATCGATACCCATACCGATATTAGATTATAATCATAATACCAGTACACCAATATATTCAGAATCGAATATAGATATTATTAAATCAATTTTTTGGGGATCAATTTTTTGTTGCCGATTTTTTCTGGATCTATCTTGTTATATCCGATGTTGAATCGATTCAAAATATCGATTTTTTTATTTTTGGGGCATCCCTACATCAACTACAAAAGTAGATAGCTGAGGGACTAGAGAGGCAAGCGGGGAACAACACGCCGTAACACACGTCGCGCGTCGGTGAGATCTGAGACCGACGAATCGACCATCATACGTGTCATAGCGTCGGATGGCGTCGCGTGTTGCCTAGTGTGTACGCAATACATGTAATTAAATGGAAAAATATAACGCACAGATCTTCATGACGTGGGGTAGTCATGGCATCACGTGGCGTAGCGTGTTGGCTAATGGGGTACGGGCTTAAGAGTCCCTGTAAATGACAATTACCTGTAAATCACTATTCCTATAACTACTCCAAGGGCGATAAGGGCCCAGAACACCGCTATGGTAAAGCTGAGAATGATGGAGGGCAGTTTGACTCTCCAGAATGGTACTACTGGTTCGTGGAGTTGCGTGATTACGTTGAGCTTCTTCTTTTTAGCATTGTGAAGGCGCATGAGGTATTCAGGGCGGGGCGGTTCGGCCTGAAGGTCAAAGCCTGTCAAACCCCATCGGTGCGTTACTTCTGCACTGTATCTGTGAAACAATTCATAGTGTACAATGTCGGTTAACTCAATGTGAACAGCGAAGATATTCTTGGACTTGCATTGTCTTTGATACTGAAATTTTCATCAACAATTTTATCAACTTTTAGTGCATGGCAATTTTCGGCAATCGTGTAACTTTTTTGTTTGTAAAGATTTGCACATACTATCTACAAAGAAAAAATAGCAAACACATAAAGAAGAGCTTTAAAATAATTTAATGTCTGACTTGTAGTTTAAAACAGACAAGCTATAAGGAAAATTACAACAAAGATTCAAGGTTTTATTACAGATGTAATTAAACCCTGAAGCTGAACGCATGATGTACACCCTTCCCTAGAATTCTAAGTAGTGCATTTCAATATGATGCGGCGCGACGATTTTTATTCCCTCTTCCTTCAGTATATTATAAATTCATTGGACTGCTTAGTGATGTGTCGGTATTTGAGTAACGCGATTTTGGAGCGGTATTTTTTTGTAACGTCGTGTCGCGCTCCACAACGAATCAGGAACCTGTTACTGAAGAACAACAATCATAATGACGACAAAATTATAAATTACTTATAATTTGCAAATAAATTATTTATAATCGCACTTGAAGTTAGCTCGAACCGTAGTAATCGCATAGCGACGTGTTTAGCTCCAACCGTCGCGATTTCGTCGGTCGCCAACAGTAGTATCTGGAACTGGTATGTCCGTAGCGCCGCGCGATCTGGATCGGGACGTGTTCGCTCCAGCCGTCGCGCTCCTAGAGTTTTAGTTCCCTGTCGCGAACAGAAGTAACTGCTGTAACTGATTATGAACTGATTATCGACGCTCGACCTCGGCGGCCACGCACTCCGTTCCAGCAGTCGCTGGAGCGCTTCTAGGGTTTCGGTTTTGCCTGTCGCGATTTGGTCGGTTACTATTGGCGTTGGTGCTCCCGTCGCTACGTTACTTTCGAAATAGCGATTTTTGGTATGTACTAGGCATGTTATAGAATAGTGTCGTTTGAAAGATGAAACGCAAAAACAAATAACATAAAATAAAAATATTTTATTTGCTTTTATACATTTATATAAGCTTTATTGTTTATATCTATTTTTAAGGTTAGGTTAGACCAATAAACAATTTTTTTTGACAGTAGTTTGGAGTTTGTTCTTGATTTTAACATTAAATATATTATATTGCAATACACATAAATATGAACCGTCCATTTTATTTAAACGAAAATTGACAAAGAAAAAAAAACAAGGAATGTCATCGCTTTTCTAAAAATGAGCTAGATTGGCTATACACAATTATAAACTCGATATTTGGAAAATGAGTGGCGGATAAAAGTTACATTAATCTACAAATATAGATAAGTTAGATGTATTTTTAGCGAGGACCGCAACAACTTTGGAAGTCGGAACTTCGGCTACAAAATCGCGGTATTTTGTCGCGGTATTTTTCTGGAACGGTCGCTATTGTAACGCGACTCATGTGGAACCGGTATTCCCATCACTAGGACTGCTTACATATAAGCGAATCCAATTAAACTTTTAGTTACGTAATCGAGGGCGCGATTTTTAACTGGGCCGAATTTAAATTTCAGGCTGGAGATACAGGTGGTATCTCTGCTGTAAAAAATGTCAAGTTGTCACATTTATTTATTTCTTGACATTGTCATTCGTTTTGACACTTTAGTATTGTATTATGAGTTTTTGGTTTAAATGAATTGTGTTGTGATACCCCTTTAATCTTAAAAATATTTACTAGCAGAACCTCTTTTAGTGCGAAGTGTACATGGTACCTTAATAACCGTTGCAAAAAACTCATCGCAACCTTATTAGAATATTTTGAACGGGAAAGCAGTAGTAATAGCCCTTTATATCCCTTGAGTGCTGTTAAGGTTTATGCATAGACAAACAAATAAAAAGAGACTGGCAAATGAAATGGCAAAGAGAGGGACAACGTTCAAGTAGCGCAACTCAGAACGCAAAATTTCGTTCTATTTATGTTGATCTGCGCATTGCGTCTATTGGGCCCACTATCTGATTCTAATATAACAAGAGAGAAAGAAGCAACTATATAAAACGTAATTTCTAAATAGAAATTAGAACAATCGCCTTTCGTTTTCGTCATCATGACCATATCATGACAACCAAGATGACCAAGATGACAACATCATGACAATTCGTCATGTTTGTTAATTTTTCTTTTGGTGATTTACCTTTTTTTCTAATCTCTCCATTTTATTGACTTATGAATATGGATAGGAAACAAATTCCTTTGTTCCATATAGGTATTTATATTTTGTTACTTATAATTTTCGGTTATACTATTTATTTTATTTGCTGCAGGAGCCAGTATCATCTATTTTTTATATGTATTGGTGCCCTCTTTCTCTGATAGATATGTTAAAGACACCCGGTAAAATAAAAGTAAGTAGTTATATTTATCATCTTATTAAGAAAAAAAGTAGAAGTAGTAGTGTAAAATATATTTCGAACCTCTCTTAACATAACAAATTACCTAATACAATTAATTTTTTTCATTTTTTGGGTAGGTAGTTTATAGCTGGTTTATAGCAACCAGAAACTTTATTAATATACCTATTTTACTTTTGTTTTAGGATTAAAACTGGACTTGAAAATGGTTCAGGATCATGATTCTCGTAAAGTCTTCTTTGCTTGGATATTCACTTTGTTATTGCAATTAGGCAGTTTTTTCGAAAATGAGATTTTTAATGCCCTTTAAAAAAAATTCGCCGATCGTTTCCTGCAACAGTCAGTTCTTCTGCATTTAAAATTGGTAGGTGGGTGGAATAAACACTGTTATTTTTTGTTATTATATTATAAAAAGTTTTTTTATTTTTATGTATAAATAAATATGTTTATAAAACAGTACAATTTTTGCTTTTTTTTATAATTTCCCTTATAATAGTAGTATTCTTTCGTTCTGAAAGAAACTGCAAATTTACATTTAAACTGATTTATTCCCTACTCCACGTTCCCTTTACGTGGTATAGGGAGTAAATCAGTTTAAGTGAAAATTTTCAGTTTCTGAATGAAAGAATACTACTAATAAAGGCTAATTTAAATTTTCCGCCAACCAGAATGTGCGACAATGTCGTACGATACGTTTATACCTATCTCTTTCTTTTTCATATAAAGTACACATAATAAAGAAAGATAGCAATAAAGACGTACGTCCTGCCATGGTCCTGCTAATTGGTTTCAAAATTGTTATTCTGAGTTGCGCTACGGGAACGCGGTCCCACTTTTTACCATGGGATTTGTCAGTCTCTTTTTATTTGTTTGTCTATGGGTTTATGTAAAAATACAAGTATTAAGGTTGATGTAAAAAAATAATTAATTTTTGTTTCTTAAAATATTTCGATTAAAAGAAAATATGATAAAGTGGGCAACGCTGTACCGGTCAAGCTTAATCACGTGACTAAAAGTTTATTTGGTATGATCTATACGGAAATCGCACCTAAAGCTGGCGTTGGCAAAGGGGTATACAAATCGAAGTATGTAAAAATTCAACATAAAAGATAATCAGTCCAAAAAAATTAATTTATTCCGCCATAAAATAATCGCTTACCTTTTCCAAAGTTCCAAATACAATGCACCCCAAAGCGACATAAAAACAGCGAAAAATATCGTGGCAGGGTTATCAATTAAATGCTGTATTTTCGAGTAAGTACAGCTATTGCTCAGTTTCCAATAATCACACACTCTGTCGCACAGAGGGCACATAGTAATATCCAACTTGCAGATGTCCCTGCTCATGGTGTCGTTATCTATAGTAGTGGCGGCGTAGATCAGACATAAAACGCCGACAATGGCGGCTGGGACGAGCATATGGGTGTAGAAACCCAGCCAGGTGAAGTAGAGTGCGAATTTTACTCCAAAATAGTCTTTGATCTCGTCGATGGGCTGAAATTTGATGCATTTCGAGACGGAAGCCCATTCGTGCAGGAGAAGATGGCGTTTCGAGCCAGTTTGGGCGTAGTCACCCTTAAAAAGAATAAAACATACAGGGGTTTATACTAGAGATGAGCAAAACTGCGATTGCGATTAAATCGCAGCGACTGTAACCTGCAATTGCGATTTTAATATTTATCAAACCAAATTGTTTTTTCCAAATATGCTAATGAGCCACCCTCGTTCTATTTGAAAAAATTGAGATATGATTAAAAATACGATTTAGGAATCTTTTAACCAGCCAGGATAACACACTAAAAACATTAGACGATCAAATCTATTTTTTCAAGGACCCTTGATTAAAAATTAGTGGTTTTAACACAACCATGACATTCTAGATTAAAATATAAAATAGGTAATAAAATTATAAAATAATATAAATATAAAATTAAGCGAAAATGTCAAAAGTTGCCATATGATATGCCATTCTATTCAGAGTGTCATTTTCTATCGAATAAACTAAAAAAATGTTCTCTCTCTATAACTAAAAACAATTGAATACGTCAATCAATCCTAATTTATGTCGTATACTAACATACCAGATCTCGTTTTTTATCAGAAAAAATAAAAAAAAGTTATAGGGGAGAACTAGTCTTGAGAAACACCCGGTATATTGATCGTGGCCCTAGAAAATAATACCTTCTTTATAAAGAAATATTATCAGCGAGAAAATTCAATCGCAGTTTACAATAAAATGCTTCAATAGACCACAAAATTACATTCGCAACAATATTACAAATCGCAACTCCTAAAAATTCAAACTCGCAGATAGAAATCGCGGTTCCAGTTTACAAAATCACAATTGCAGCAAAATCGCAAATCGCAACAAAATCGCAAATCGCAATTACACTGGTTGCCTAAATTGAAACTCGCAAATAGAAGAAATGGCAATCGCAGTTTCCTATGAGAGCCAATCGCAAGTTGCGATTGCGATTTTAAAATCGCTGCGATTGAATCGTTTGCGATATCTTGCTTATCTCTAGAATATACAACTTTTGTAACCTGAGACAAAGTCTCCACATTTATCATCTCTACATAATATATTACTATTTTTTTATACTTAATATCAGGGTTGGCAAAAATCATGATTTTTTTTAAAAAATCAAAAAAATAAGATTTATTTGATTTAAATCAGATTTTTTTTTATTTAAATCAGATTTTTTTGATTTTAATTCAAAACAATATTTAAATCGGATTTCCAAATGGCTAGGACTTATTTCCAATTAAAGTCCTATCCTAAATGGCTAAAACTTTATAACTCTGCCCGTTATCGATAACATTAATAATTCTAGGGTGCGTTTGTCATTTTTCCACATCAGTCACCAATATATTTCGCAAAAAGTCGCTCGCTTCAGATCAAAAGGATTTTTTTTAAACGTCTCAAAAGTATTAATTTTTGTCATTTTACGCCTAGGTATAAAACTAAAGCACTGTTACGCCTAAGCACAAAAGTACAAAAATATATTATTAAACTGATATTAAATGTCAAATTCAACGAGTGTACAAATTGTTGCTCGATTACTGTTTATATTATTTGCAATGTTTGAAATTGATTAAAAATGATTTGTAATGTTTTAAAAAAATAGTATCTATGTTCTATTAGGAGTAAAAATGTACTTTTTGTGCTTCCTTGTAACGTCGGAATAGCTTTACGATGGTCCTTCAAAGGTACAGCATCATCAAAAAAAGTATAATTTTTACTCCTAATAAAACAATACACTATCGTTCGGAAATATTCTTAAGTCGAGAGTGAAATTAGTATTATCTAATGTCAAATTGTAAAATACTTACTGCAGATCAAAATGTCGGTAAGAATTTGGAAGAATACAACCATTTCAAAAAATAAAAATAAAACAACATATTTCCTCTGACAACGATTATTATAGATTCTCGGGAATGAAGATATAGCCTCTATATCAGAAGAACCTAGTTCTGCATTAGACTGCCAATGATATGGATTCGAACAGCGAATTTTTGTCACATATACATAAATTTTAAAATAAATCCCTGCGTTTAGCGGTCTAATGGACTCACACGAAATTACTTCAAAAATCGGCCCAACATTTAAATTGATGAATAGGTATTTTTATATACTCGTATTTTTATAACATTTACAATTACTTTTCGATTTATTATCTGTTATATCTTTTATAGAAATATTTTTTATAGTTTTCTAGGAGACATTTTTATAACTTTTACAGTTATTTTTTTATTTATAATAAAGTTTTTATAAAATATTTTTTTTTATCTGAATCTATGATTAAAATAAAAAAAATCACTTGATTTAAATCATGCCAACCCTGCTTAATATATTTTTTACTTGTGTTCATTGTTGCTTTGTTTTGCCTATTTAGTAAAAACACTTCACTTATGAAAATAAAGATATTTGAAGTAGAAAATGAAAAGAAAAGGAAAAAAAAAAGAAATAATTAAAAATTAACAAAAAATGTATATAAATACATACATCATGTAAAGGATAGGCTGCCTTATAAACCCCTTCCGAAATTAACTGTTTGATGCCCTTATCTTGGTCTTCAGGTCCAAATTTTTCCCTTTCTAAAATATAGGATGCCACGGTAATCCTTACTGATGTGCTAAAAAAGTGCGGAGCGTCGATATCAAACCTAAAAAATAGTGTTAATAGAAAAAAAAAACAACTTATAGAAATCAAGAACCAAATAAAATATAAACAATAAAAAATTAAACTTACAAATATGGTTTGTCCTTACTAAATTCAGCTGTAAGTTGATACTTCTTTGGTGGAAACTTCTTGGGGTCTAAAGCTACTTTACATTTGGTAAAACAATTGTTTATCATTGATTTGAAACAATTTTCGGTTGGAAGTTGTTCATCGTTCTAGAAAAAAAGGTGATTATAGATTTCAACTGTGAATTTTTGTCTTCTGTGAAAAATTGTCGATGTACTGTGTGAAAGATAAAAGTCTAAATTGTCAATGTTTTAAGCCTTGAAATTAGTGGAATAAGTAAGTAAAACGTATTTGCAATAAAGCCACTAAACCACTAAATTAGTTCAACAATTTCTAGGTACAAAGAATACTAGGTGCAAAAATATTCAAAAGAGTGGTTAAATACAGCTGGAAATGTTGCACTGGATGTTGGCACAGCATAAAAATGTAAACAGTTCCCTTGAGGTCCGAATGTGTTTATTACAGAACTGTGCATGCTTTTAAGTATTAAAATCGGTACTTACATCCTTGATTGGCATCCGTAGTTTCAGAATTTCAGCGTACTGACACAGAACAGGTTTAGGTACGTGGATCTTCACAAAATGTATCCTCTGGTTTTCTTCCCTTTCTAATATTAAACCCGTACTTATTAGATTTGTTTCGAATCTTTTTCTCATCTGAATATCTTCTTCTTTGCCTTGCTCGTCGTAGGCCAACACGAAATCCACTGACAGATCCGCATTCGAAAAATTTCTCCACCTCTAAAACCAAAAAATCAAGATAGAATATCGTTTTATTAAAAAAAATTTCAAATGGCAATTTACGCTGATTTTTGTTTTATTTAAAACATGAAAGTTGATTTTCATTATTCATTTCCATTTTAAAAGAAAGAGGCTATACGAACGTCTGAAGGCATTACGGGTAACGGTATTAACGCTTGTTAACGCTATACCGGGTGTTTTTCAAAAGTGGCTCACCTCTATAACTTTTTTATTTGCCCAGATTAAAAAACGAAATTCGGTATGTTAGTATACTTATGATATAAATCGGGATTAACGTCTTCAATGAGTCTCTGACACTTCCTATTTCACCGAAAATTACTACCATTTTTATTTTTATTATTTTTGTACTTACTTTGATAGAAAATGACATTCTGAATAGAATGACATATCATATGTCAACTTGTGACATTGTATTGGCTGTGTTAAAGTTAAAACTTTAAAACCATTGAATTTAAATCAAGGAGCCTTGGAAAAACAGGTTTGATGGTACAATGTTTTTCATGTCTTTTCATGGCCAGTTAAAAGATGCTCCAATCGGATTTTAATCATAACTGATTTTTTTCAAATAGAACGATGGTGCCTCATTAGCATATTTGTAAAAAAACTTTTTTTATAATATGGTACGGTTTTACAATAAACAATTTGGTACCACATACAGACATTTAGAGTCAAATTGTCTTTAAGGCAAAACGCCACTTTCTATAAAATAAAACAAAAAATACCAAGGGGACCATTTAAAAATCAAAAGTTGTAGTCATTTCAAATCGTATTTTTAATCATATCTCAATTTTTTCAAATAGAACGAGTATGGTTCATTAGCATATTTGGAAAAAGCATTTTCTTACGAATAATTTGGTGCCATACTTGTTCCATATACTTGGTATTAAAGTACGAGCATAGACAAACAAATTATTTGTTTGTCTATGAGTACGAGTGACAGTGTCAACAAATTGTTATTTCCAGGCCTACCTTTGACAATCGCCATTATGCATATATTATGCCAAATTCCAATGTTCGGTTCATTTAAAGTTATCTTAATATATGGCGGTTCATAACGACAATTTTACTCCAAATACCATGTATGTGGTACCAAATTATTCGTAAAAAATGCCCTTTTCCAAATATGCCAATAAATCTCACTTGTTCCATTTGAAAAAATTGAGATATAATTAAAAATACGACTTGAGCATCTTTTAACCGGCCACGACAAGGCACTAAATACATTAGACGATCAAATTTATTTTCCCAAGACTCCTTGATTAAAAATTAGTGTTTTTAACATAGCCATGGCACTTTAGACTGAAATTTAGATACGATTTTTTAAGCGAAAATGTCAAAAGTTGTCATATGATATGTCAACACATATGAGTGTCAGTTTCTTTCGAATAAGGCAAAAAAAGTTCTGGTAATTTCCGATGAAACAGGAAGTGACCAAAAATAATTGAATACGTCAATCAATCCTAATATATGTCATATACTAACATACGAAATCTCGTTTTTTTTATCTAAAAAAGTAAAAAAAGTTATAGAGGCGAGCCACTTTTCAGAACCACCCTGTATATAGTAATCATATTAAAAAACTAATCGAGTTTCCATGGAATAAATATGCAAAAAACAAGTTCACCCCAGTCGTTGCTACAAAAAACAAAGCTCGATACACAAGTAATTTAGAAAACAATAATTCTATTTTTATTTTTAAATCATGAAAGATTAAAAAATGCAAAAACTTTTAGCTCACTATGAATTTTTATTTTGAATATACTGGGAGCCAAATTTCAGGGAAATCACCCTATGAAGTTTAGATTAACTATCACTCTTCATCGTCTACTATAGGTAAAACATTTTTAAAAAAATTGATCAGCTGTCAGTATAGTTTAAAAACAATTCGCACAAATCTTATTATATTTGTTTGCAATGATACATAATATAATGTAGAATTTTAACGAATTTTAGATAAATACTTACTTTCATTTTCAAATTCAAACAATATTTTATAGAACAAAACTTGTTGTGCTCTTGGTGGTTTGCTAATGTGTGAAAATTTATTTCGTCATACTATATTGTTATATTATTATAACATAAGCAAAATCAGAATGGAAAAGATGCATATAACGTCCGCCGGACGTTATCATAACGGCCGGCGGCCGTTAAGTTTCTAAGGTAATCGTAACGTGTGTCACCTGCAACAATGACTATTTATTGTCAGTTGGACTTTTCAAAAATTGGGAAAATAGACCATAGCGAGATGTCGCGAGAAATTCCGTTGGAAATACAGGAGGAAGCGGCTGCGGCTACTCAAAATTATACTTCCGACTATAACCAGAGAGAGATATCAGCAGGAATATGACAATTTTTTGAAGTGGCGGCAGGATAGAAGTATAAACAGCGTAAATGAAGCGGTATTGCTGGCTTATGCTAAAAGAATGTCTGAAATGTATTCTCCTACATCACTGTGGACAAAGATATCCATGCTGAAGCTTGCGTTGAGAGTATATGAAAACATCGACATATCAAGGTAAAAAGCCATTATATTCTTCGATATTTAATCATACTCATCTAAATTATATTTGTTCATAGATTTGGTAAACTGTTCATGTTTCTGAGGCGCAAAACGAAGGTTATTCACCAAAAAGCCAAAGTTCTGTCGGAGAATGACATAAATAATTTTCTACTGGATGCCGATGATTACACCTGGTTACTCGAAAAATTGTATTGGTGCTTGGTATTCTTGAGCTTGTAGGCGCAGCGAGCTTTGGTCACTCACAGTTGATGATTTCGAAGATTCGGAGAAAATATTCTTGTCTCATTAAGAAATACTAAAAATAAGAAAGATAGGAAATTTCTTATTCCAAAAACGGGCCTTCCGTTTGATGCCTATGGTTTATACAAAAATACATCAACCTGCGTCCTCGTAACTTTGACAATCCAAAATTTTTCATTGGTTACAAGAAAGGCAAGTGTGTTAAGCAAATCGTCGGTATACATACCATCAGGAGCGTACCGCAGAAAATTGCAAAATTTTTGAACTTGGAGAATCCAGAACGTTATACAGGGCATTCATTTCGTAGATCATCAGCAACCATGCTCGCCGAAAATGGTGGTGATTTACTATCGCTAAAGGAGCTAGGAGGATGGGAGTCTTCAACAGTGGCAGAAACTTACATAGAAAATCAGTTTCCAAAGAATGAAAATAACAAATCAACTTTTTCATGATAGGCTCCAAAAATAATGTGTCTTTAGTGGATACAAATATTTGCCATTCTTCAGTAGCATCATCTTCTTTTCTATAAAATCTGTAAATCCCTGGGAAGGATTACAGATTTCTAAGAACAACAAGTGCACTTTTAATTTCCATGTTCATTATCATGAAAAATGAATTTTAGTATAAGACATTATGTATTTTTTTTATCCTTACTTGTGTTATTGTTCAATAAAATTTGTTATTAAATAGTAGTGTTTATTGCTCTAAAAAATCTGCAGTATGACGAAAATCTAGAACGCAACATTTGCCGATAACAAATAACGGCCTTGGCTGCTTATGATCCTCGGCTATCGCCTCGGATCACAAACTTCAGCCCGGCCGTTATTTGTTGTTTATCGGCCTTATTACGTTAATAACTATAAATGTAACAGGTATGGTGTAAAAATCTCACACGAATACTTTTTCGCTACCTATGCAACAAAACTGATTAGAAGAACAACCTTTTTTTCAACAGATAAAATACCATAGGAATGAAAAAACGGCGTCATATTGGCATTTGAAATAGCAATCGATGATAATTTCTGTCGAGTAGACTATTATACAAGGTTAATGTGCAAATATTTTTACAGGTGGTATATTTCGACTCCAGAAACACGTCTATGAGAGTTTTTCGTGAAAAAAAATTAAAATTATTTTTCGAAATTTTTTTGGAAATGTTTTTAATTTTTAGTTAAAAAATATAAAATATAGATATTATGGCAATATTAGGTAGTAGATTAAATGTACAAAAATGAAAACATAGATAAAAAATAGCGGTTCTCAAAGTTTAAGCAAAGAATATATACCGGGTGCGTCTCAAAAGTGGCTCACCAAGTGGTATATGATATAAATTGGGATTGATAAACGGGGTATTCAATTGTTTTCGATCACTACCTATTTCATCGGAAATTACCAGAACTTTTGATTTTTAAATGGCACCATCGGTATTTTTTGCTTTATTCCATAGAAAATGATACTCATATGTGTTGACATATCATATGACAACTTTTGACATTTTTGCTTAAAAAAATCGTATCTAAATTTCAGTCTAAAGTGCCATGGCTGTGTTAAGTTGACAATGACATTCGATTTAGAGTGTCATTTTCTATCTTTGAATAAGAAGACTAAGGAAGGAGCATAATGCTATCCATGTATTCATGCATGGTGGGCGGAAAAAGCTCTCTAGGGTGGGGATCCTTGACAGTTCTGTTTGACGATTCATTTGACACATTTGAATTTGATTTGAAATTTTGTGGATTTGTCAGTCTTTACGGAGCTTATTTTATGTTATTTATTATTTATTCTAATACTGATAGTTGTATAAAGATAGTAAATCTAGATGGAAATTGTGGCAGAACTTAAATTAATAGTGACATTATCGCGATTTATCGAAAAAGACTCTAAAATAGTTGGTTGTGTAGCGTGCGGTAGATCTCAGCAAAAATTGAGTGAAATAATTGAACAACTTTTCGCTAGTAAGTGACTATATAATATACATACGTGTAGTAAACCGATCATTTATGAAATTCACTTTAATTAACTAAATTATATATTTTCTTGCATTTTAGCTTTTATTTACTACTTGTCAAAGATCAGATGTCAAAGAATTTTGATACGTTAATTTGACTTTCCTGCTTCAGTACCGTATCGGATGTTTGTGTTAATAAATACTTATTATAACTTATCTATTTTTATTAGAATTATATATTTTTATAACAATTTTAATAACTACCAACAT